AAAGTACAAGCAAGGTAGCCTTTGTTTGCAGTTTGCTGTGCAGTTTTTGCCAAAGACAGACCTGGGTGAGAAGCTTCCACTAGCACAAACCTGTTCGCCAAACACAAACGTTACCAAGTAGCTGTTTTTATTTCCTATGTCAACTCGAAATGGTAAGTACAGGTGCTGCGTAGCAATAGTACTTTGAACAGTAATGGTTTCTTCATGCAAGAGCCTGGGAGCTGGCACTGGATAGTGCGACAGCCTGATTAAGATCCTGAGATTATGAGGAGCTGTTGGGATCTTCTCGCCTGACCTCTGTGTAAAACAAGCCATAGTACTTTCTTGAATTAATTCCTGTTTGAACGAGGGCACGTGCTTTAGAAAGGCTTGACTGGGAGGGGAAAAAAAAAATTAGTGACAGTACAGTGTAACCTTTGATGTAAGTGGTTAATTGTGCTCTGGAAATGTATGCCTGACCGGTCATTGAAGCCTGTCCAGCTTCAACTTTCCAGCCTTTGGATTTTCTAAAATAATTCATTAGTGAGGATTTTTTTCATCAGTTCTGTGCCCTCTGTTGCATACTTGCAGACTGATCCAGTAACCTCTTAGCCTTCTCTTTGCTAAACTAACAAGACTGAGCTCATGGCTTCTTGGTGTTTTGCTGTAAATCATGCCTTCCAGCCTTTTAATAACTTGCAGGCTTCTTTCCACCTCCTTTCCCCTGATCTCTCTTTGTTTATTGAGTGCTGGAATTTCATTTGGCATTCCAGATGCGAGACCGATACAAGGCAATGCTGTAAACTTTTACTTCTGAGAAAGCTCTCTGCTTTATATAGCAATTTTCAATTAGCTAATTAATACCCATTGTCGCAGTGGGACTGTCTCGGCTGTTGATTATCTTCAATTTCCCAAATTTGCTAGAGTCACAGCTTTACACGATAATCCTATAGATCATGACTTTTTTTCCCCCTAGATGTAGAGATTTACCTCACTGACATTGAAATTCTTACAGTAGATTGATTGTATTATGAAAAGTAACAATAATAAAAAAGAAAAAATATATTATTCTGTTAATACTGTGTTCACTTTATTATTTACTGTTTTTCTGCCAAGACATTATAATTTACAAACCTTCAGTAGTCATTACGTCCATAGGAGTTTGAGATGGGAAAAGTTTGGGTCTATTCAATCCAGAAAGGGGTTGCTGTAGCCACAGTTGTGTGTGCTTTCATTGTCTGCTTAAGCTTCTCCTAATTACTATTGTTTTATAAATGAAAAAGGACTGAACTTAGGCTGAAAATTAGAAGGTTTCTATCCAACAAAAGAGAAGCGTTCTGGAATAGTCTTGTATTTCCTTTGGAATACAGAGGACAAAAGGAAAAGAGGAATTAAGATTTTGGGACCTTGTGAAATCCAGTATTGATGGTTTCCTCATTTCTAGTTGTAAGTTAAGGATCGTGTTGTATACTTTCACATTTTTCTTTTAGGAGATGCTGTGTTGACTTTTAGTGGTTTGGCTTTTGTCAGATCCTTGATGGCAATATAACTTTCTCTCTGTTTAAAGCTAAATTTGTCATCATTCTAAGAATACCGGTTAACCAAGACCTGTGTTCTGTAAATCCATGTCGCTGGACATGAATTCTATTATTCTTCTGTAATTCTTTTTTAATAGAGTCTTCTATCATCTGTTCTGTGATTTTTGTCCCTGATCAATATGAGGTGGAGAGACCAGTAATTACCTGGGCATCCTATTTACCCTTGCAAAATTTATGGTATGGTGTTAGTTTTCATTTGATTTTCTGGACCCCCCAAATACATGAAGGCATAATGAAAATCTGTGTTGATGGTGGAGAGTTTGAAACTGTCAGCATTTTCTGATGGAGCAAACTGTTCACAGTACAACATCCATCTTAATTCAGGATATATGAGGATGTGAAATACCTATTTACAGCTTTTAATTGATGGAACAGAGCTTATTCAGAGCTCAGGCCTCCTATCTACAACCTCACGAGAGGTACAAGTAATGAATCTAGCTGTCACCCTGTGGCCAGGCATGGTTTATTGCCCATGCTTTGTTCATAGGTCAATCTTGAGCATGGTAAGATACAACATCTTACACAACTTCTCGTGGGGCTCAGGCAAAGAATAAAAATGTGGTTCTGGAGAGTCACAGCAAGCACAGGCAGCGGTCAGACACAGAAGCAGATTTGTTCTTGCCCTGTTGCAGTTCAGAAAGACAGTGTAGTGCAAGCTGTTATCGGATCAACATGATAGGCTACACATACTGATATGACCTTTTGAAATTTGAGAATTTAATTAAGGCTCCAAATCTATAAATATTGCTTATTTAATAAAACATTTTATATTAATTGTCATTTCCAAAGAGCAGTTGGAGGAGGAGTGCTTTGTTCTCTTGTACGGCTTTATTTGTTTGACATTGATGTAAATATACTACATGGATGGCAAAATTCAACCATTGAGCAGAAAGTCAAAGTCCTTGTTATAGATGAATGGGATGTTACAAACTTTACATTCACTCATAAATCTTGCTGTAAGTCCGGTGATTAATGTCTAACAAGGTTTTTGATTGATGGCTTAGCAACTACTAATCAGGTGTTATGGGACCAAATCATGAAATCGCTTACTTTGTTGGTTAAGGAAAGGTCCTGTTCTTTTCGCTAGGCAGCAGAATGTCTGGTTTTTCTTTTCGTTTAAGTGGATTTTAAAGTCCTAGCGTGCTGTGGCTTTTAATAAGTACATGACCAGGCCACAACTTCTAACATTGAAATATGATACTTAATAAAATCCTCTACTAGGACTGTGAGAGCAGTCAAAGATAACTTGGACTGTCCAGGCGTAGGGCATAAATTGAGGCCGATGACATTGGGTGAAGACCAGGCGTTGCACAATGCAATGAGAAATGAAAACTTCAGGCTGTTTTTTGAAGGAAGTAGCTGGCTAGATTTTCTGACTGGCCCACGTGTTAATTGTATTGCTGAAAAAATGATGAGGATTTTAATCTTCATGCTGCAATTATAAGCCAAATGTACTGTGTGTAGAAGATCTCTCCAGTCTTCACTTCTCTCTGGTTTGGCTGTGTATTGTAACTGCTCAGCCATGCTTACACTTAATTACTTGGTTCTGAAGAATTTGTGTAACACTTGAATACAGGGCACTGGAGCAGAAAGAGCTTTGATCTGTCTAGCACGGTTTCTGCTATGCTTGAATTTTGTAACTTAGAGTTGAACTTTGAGAATAGTTATCAAACCCAGCTATTTTCACTGCTTTTACAGCTTTTGACTTTTTCAGAGCCTTGCGTCAAACCATCCTGCCCTGCCTACCTAGTAATACCATAAATTAACAATTTTCTTTTCTTTTTCCTAATCTGTGGCATTTTCAGAACTGTTCTGAATATCTAATGACAAACTCATCTTCTATTGCTCTATTCCACTTTTTAACCAACGGCGATAATTCATTATGTTCATAGCTCAGATCTCTGTTGGCTTATTGTAATCTTGGAACCAAGTACTGTATTGCGCGCTTAACATTTCCTAGTCCTGGATATAAAGTGACACCAGTGTCATGGAATCCATTATAAACAGGTTTCATCCATAATGGAAGAATAAATTGCTAAGTGTTTTTCTTTTTTAAAAAACTTGATTAAGTTTGATGGTTTAATTACATTTTTTGTGGCGATTTTTGGGTAGTTAATTCAAGTAGAGAAGATGAAATGCAAATATGCGAATACAAACGGATTTGGTAAATTACTGTTAAAAATTAGTGCAGTGATTATTTTTACTCTCAACAATAAGCATGCGTTTTAAAAGCTTGTGCTCAGGTAAAGTTTTAATTGAGATGTTTTAGGAGTTGAAGTTTCTTTGTGTTTGTATTATTTTTTTTTCCAAGCTATCCTGAATTGTTTCTAATTAGGGGCATGATACCATTTGCCTAGATATTTATTCCTATGTAATTTGTTTAAACTTAGACAGCACAGTACTGATGTATTCCTTTCATTACAGACAACTCTCTTTGATGGGCTTTGACTAGCTAATTATTAAAATGGAACACATTACTAATAGCCTCTGAGTAGGTAGAATTTTCTGAAAATAAATAATGACTTTCTGAATCCACTGACAAAAGTTAATTTTTAAGGAGTTTCTTTCCATCTTCAGACACAGGGAAATTAAAAGTGAATGACTTGGAATCTGTTTCTGCTTTGCACCACAGAGTTGCTTAGATAGCATTAAATATCAGGCTACCGCTCAGGGCTGCGAGGGTTTTACAGAGGGGACCCTCATCTCACAAAGGGACTCCCCAACCCCTTGCTGAGTATATTGGGCTAGAGGAAAATCAGTCCTAAACTATGTTGGCAGAACTGGCAGCTGTGGGAATTGATATTTTTGATGGTCAAAGAAGCATGTGTGGTTTAGGAACTATTAAAGGGCAATTTTTGCAGCTTTGCCAAGACTTTTTTGAGCACACGTGACCACAGCACATACACCAAACAGATGAGTGGATGTTTTCTATTTCTACGTAAAAACATCTGGAAAACATACAGGCATACCTGCGCTTACATAAAATACACTGTTGTAACTGAACAGATCAATATTGCTAACCTTTATGTTTTTAAGAGCTGTGGTATATAATCGGTGTGTAAAGGCCAGCCGACATCCCACCCACCATCTCCCTGTTGCTGCTGCTGCTAGAATCGGTTTTGAGAGGAGTGAGGACTTCTTGCAAGTTACCTCTAGTAACTTGCAAAACTATCAGGGTTTTATAGCAGATTGGATTTGTCAAGTAATGTAATGTAAAACAAGCTTTTACCAAACTAGAGACAGTGGCGTGTAAGTCCTTGGAATCACATTTCTGAAGATAAAGCCAGGTTTCTGTTAGTTGGAATTGTTGAGATTTTTATTAGTTTTCCAGTCTTAGAGAGTACCTAAAAATCCTAGCCATTCAAGTTACATTACAGTACTGTTGTGTTTCAAATGCTGAGTTCCTCTTCCGTCTGTTGGCAGATGCTGCTGACAGAATATCTGGATATGAAGAACACCCGCACTGCCTCGGAGCCGTCCACCCAGCTTAGCTATGCCAGCTCTGGGAGAGAATTTGCAGCGTTCTTTGCAAAGAAGAAACCGCAAAGACCTAAAAACTCTTTGTTCAAGTAAGTGCTGGGATGATGTTAAAGCTGTGCCTAAACTCTCTTTGGTCCCTCAAGTACTGCACAACACTGACTGCTAATCACAGTTTCACAGTGTGAGAGGAGTGTAAGTTTTGAGATGGAGATTTAATGCCCAAAGCTGAAGCCTCAGCAAGATCTCTGTTATGGATTCATTGCTGGTTTTTAGAGTGTAGCTCTTTCCAGGGCTCATCTTGGGACTGGAATCCCATTATACAAGCTGCTGCAAAGCATGCAGTGATACATTATGCTCGTCTTTGTCCGTGGTAAATTTGGGACCTGTTAAAGGAAGCGATAAAGGGGACTGGACAAAGAGAATTAAGATAACTGTATAATTACTAGATAAACTAAGCGGTTAATCCTATCACCAACCCCTTTAATTCAGAGTTCAGAGTGGAAAGAATTAAGTGGTTGGGAGGAGAGTGTAAGAGAGAGGATGAGATGCTAGGTGGCCAAGGGAAGGATTTGGGGGAACAAATTCGATGTACAAGAGTAAGAAGTGAGGGGGAGTTGAGGGTGAGCAGCAGTTAGGAGAGGAGAGATGGTCTTGTTACTATACCTAGATTCAGGGGACCTGTGGTGAATTTTCATCTCTTCCACTGACTACATGTGCTGGTCATTCTCTTTGGCCTCTTTGAGGATTTTGGGGAATACCAAAATATGCTGTTTGGGCAGCAGGTGCTCCAGGTTCAAAGATCACAGCTTCTTCAGCTCTGCCAGCATAACTGCATGTGTGCCTGCTGTCTTAACTCAGTACTGCAAAATAATCTTTTTAATGATTTTTTTTTTGGTTGGTGTTTTGGTTTTTTTTTTTTACAATGAGATTGTTTGAAAACAGTTGCTGGGGGAATGAACGAGTTTCACAGCAGGTTTGAGGGAATAGCAGAGAGTGGAGCAGTGGTGGGGAGTACCAGCAGCTTGGACCAGTAACCTTTTAACCATGCTCAGCTGCAGCAGGAGCAGTGTATCTGACAGGTCCTTGGCACCCCTCTGGACTATAAGCTGCTGCAGGGCTTGGGCTGTCTTTCACTACCCATCTGAGCGAGGCTTAGCCTTACGAGGCTTTGCTCTCCAGAGTCAAGAGAGTCCAAGGTTAAAAAAGATCTAGTGGAGTATTTGCTGGAGGGGGAGTGATTGCAAGTGAGCTGGTGTTTTCACCCTTTATTTGCTGGAAATGGGGATCCATGAAGTCTGGGTGTTTTTTTTTAATCAGGAATCCCTCATTTACAGTTGGAGGTAGGTCATTATATGGTGGGGAAATAATGCAGGAACTTCAGGAATGGGCAGTAATGAGAGTAATCAGCTGTTTCGGACAAGTGGGAGGGGAGCTTTGTGTTCTGCAGCCTCTTTACAGATTGTTGGGTGGTTTTTTTTTCAACTAAAGTTTATTTCTTGTTTATCCAGAGCTCCCTGTGCTTTGTCCCATGGGCATGTGTATCTAGTGGCTGTATTCTCATAGTACTTAAGGCCCCAGTTAGAAGTCAAAGTCATCTACACTGCCTTCTCTCCCTCTCGCAGGACTAGCTGTCGATGTAACCTTCTGTTATTAGAAGGTTAACTGTTGCCCAGAGGATTTCAGAGGTGCCTCCTGCCCCTGTCAGCCCATGGTTATTCCTCCCCACCTTTTTTTTTTTTTTTAAACACTCCCATGACTCTTTGGGTTGAGAATTACACCCTGTGAATTTACTCTGACTTGCAGATGTAGGTTGGAGCAAAATAGCACTACTTGCCTTTTCATATTGTGTCTGTTTTGGGGTGTACTTGGACCATTTAAGTTTGAGGAATAAGGATGCTCTGTTTCACCTACAGCAGTTTAAGGCTGTGTATTAGTTTGTCAGCAGAGAGTGAAGGTGGGTATAATTGTTTAAAGTGAAGATGCATAACCTCATAGGAGCAGCATGTCTCTTACCACTCATGGTCTTGTCACCAAGTCATTGCTGGCACTGCAGTGACAGCAGCACTTACTGGGATCTCTTATTTGGTTATCTGTCTCCTGTCAGCTGTCACTATATCTATGGAAATCTCCATTGAAACAGAATTTCTCAGTCCACTGAGGGATGTACATGTTTGATGGAGTGTTATTCTTGTCTCCTCTCCCATCTTCAGTGCTTTTCGTGCCAGGCTACAAGGCTCTTTTTCTTGCCTTTCCATTAACTCCGTCTAAATCAGAGGAACCTTCCACTTCTTATCAGAATATCTGCAGTTAATTCCTCACTTCAGAAGTCTCTTAGGGCAGGGTTCCACCTTGCGTTTTCCTCACAGATGGATGCAGGTGTTTGTGCTGTGACCCGTGATAGCTTGCTGTAAGCTAATTTTACAAATACTAAGTACTTTTGCTAGTTGTGTGTTCTAACAACAGTAGGAAGAATGAGGACTCCTCAGTTGTGTCCTGCTGTCTGGAAATCAGTAGGTAGCATTTGGAAGAGACTTTGAATCGTTGTTTCCCTATCTTTAAAATGGGTGTAATTAAAAAAAAAAAAAAAAAAGAAAAAAGAAGTCATTATGTATTTAGTTGTTTGATGTTGGCTTAAAAAAAGAAAACTTCAGATGAGGGGTACTTTGGGTATTCAGATAGTTCAAGCCATCATAAATCTGGCTTTCTTCTCTTCCAGAAGGTAGCCAAGTGCACGTTCAGGTTGCCATCTCCCTACTCATTGGCTTTGCAAGATGGAAATTGGGCACTGGTGGGAAAGGAGTGAATTGTACAAGCAGATGTTGAACATCCAATACATTAGTCTCAGGCTTGGCTGTAGTTATGTGTAATTCTATGTAAAACAAAACTACTTTGAAAGTTTTGCTGTGAGAGGATCAGCATGGGGAAAAGAGTTGCGTGTAAATGGGAATGTGGGAGAAGAGGAGATCAAGGAAACAGCAGAGGAGGGGAAATAGGGGAGAGAAACTGGGTGGCTGTGGGAAAGAAGTAGATGTGATGAGATTCTGCAGCAAAAGCTGGTGCACAGCTCTGAGGAATAATCTGAGTTGCTGTCTCAAGGAGGAGGCTGAGGTTTATTGCTGTAGTTTGCCTTGACCTGAAGCTTCTCTTTCTGATGCCTGGAAAAGACCTCTGGGCCGTGGTGCTTATGTTACACTTAATATCTCACTAGGGGCAAAAGGGAGCACATCGTAAATCTGTAGCCAAGAATTTACTGTTCATTTAAAGTCTTAAGTGTTTGTTGTATTTTGATAGATTGTTGTTAGTTCAATTGCAATAATACTAACACTCACAGTCCAAATTAAAGCAGAAAAGCCTCATTAGTAGTAATAACCTTAACACTGTTGCATATGAAAGCTTACCAATACTTGCCCCTTTCCCTGGTGTGATACTCGTGTTTCCAGTGTCCCTCCAGACAGCACTAAGGCTGATCCAGTCTTCCTTAGCAGAAGGGTTGGGGAGGGTGTGAGGGGTGTTACAGCGTATCACCAATGTCTGGAGTTCTGCGCCTTGAGGAGTTCACTGTTCGTGAAAGGTGTCTTCCCTTCCCTCTAAGTCTTACGCAATAGATGAGGTTGGAAGAGACCCCTAGGATCATTGAGTCCAACCTTGACCCTAACACCCCCATGTCAACCGGACCACGGCACTAAGTCCCACGTCCAGTCTTTTCTTAAACACCTCCAGGGATGGTGACTCCACCACCGCCCTGGGCAGCCCATTCCAATGCCTAACGACCCTTTCTGGGAAGAAATGCCTCCTCATTTCTAGCCTGAACTTCCCCTCACACAGTTTCAGACTATGACCTCTTGTCCTGCCACTGGTTGCCTGGGAGAAGAGACCGACCCCCACCTCGCTAACCCCTCCTTTCAGGTGGTTGTAGCAAGCGATCAGGT